ATATAATATGTATATATAATTTTTTTTTTGCATGACTTACTTTCATTTCTCTTTATTGTCTTAAGTTAATAATCCAGGTAAGCAAGTTAGTTGCTTGTATCTGGCTGGTAGTGAGTAGTTGATGTGCTAAAAAGTGGTAGGTTTCTGGATATAGTTATTGAAAAATATTTTTTGATAATGTTTTTTTCTCCCACTACCATCCCTTATATCCCCTTGTCCCTTTCTTTTTAAAAGATTTATTTATGCATACAAGAGCTGGGGTGCAGGCCAGAAATGCAGGGGGTGTGTGTGAGAGGATTCACCAGAGACAGAGTGGGGAGCAGAACAGGTGGATCTACTGAAATACACTGCTGAGGGGAGCAGCGGGGAGACAGGAGAGGTCTGCTGTGCCATGTGGGTAGCTCCCTGGCCAGGGATCGAACTCAGGCCACAGTGGCTGCTGATAGTTTCATAGGCTGTGTCTTAACCCCCTGCGCCACCAGGGAGGCCCCTCCCCTTGTCCCTTTCTTTACCCCACTCCTCTTAACCTCAGAGCCCTCACTATGTTTGTTAATGTCCACTAGTTTTTGTAAGTATTTTATTGGTCAAATTGTCTGCTCTGTGAATGTCCCACATTGTCATTCATTCTGACCTGCTTTACTGCACGTCATTCCCTCCAGCTCCTTCCATGTGGCTGTACCTGGCAGCATTTTTTCTTCCCTTATAGTGAATAGCACCCCATGGTGTAGGCAGACCACATCGTCTTGATCTAGTCATCTGTGGGTGGACATTTAAGCTGCTTCCCTGGCCCAGCTATAGCAAATAGTGCTGCAATAAACATTGCATTTTGACAGTTTCACGTTCTTTGGATAGAAGCCCAAGAGCCCTTGCTGGCTGTTCATACACCATATTTATTTTGATTCTAAGACATACATTCCTTTTTACAATTTAACTCTGAAGGGGCTGGAGTGGAGGGATGGGAGTGGGGGAAAAAATCAATTTAAGTGATATGATAAGAAAGCCCCGTGTCATTAATTGGCTTTGTACACAGTCACCTTGCATCTTCAATATGCTCACATATGGCCAGAGGCTTTCCTCTCTAATAAATGAGAACACTTTGTATGCAAAAGGACTAATTCACACTAAAGTGTGGGGGACTGATAGAGAGGTTCCTTCCCAGCATTTTACAGGGGAAGACCTCAGAGCAATGGTTGCTGAAGGAGACAGGTACATCATGGGATTAGGAGTGGAGAACAGTATGGGGACACCAGAGAATAACTTCCCCAAGTAAAAGTGTTGCCAGACCCTGTTGAGATTCATGTCACCCTTAAGTGCGTGTTAAAAGTGATCTGACTTCTCAAAACAGCCTGGCTGTGGCTGCCATCCCAGAAGGGCTTCCCATCGTTGTCATGGTTACACTGGTCCTGGGAGTGCTGCGGATGGCCAAGAAGAGGGTCATTGTGAAGAAGCTGCCCATCGTGGAAACTCTAGGTGAGGGACACCAGCTGGTTGAGTCCTTATTAATGGGCATGAATAGGTGTCTGAGCCATGTTTGTTGAGCACTTCCTAAGCCTGAGAGTCAGTGGGGATGATCTCTTTTCCCTACAAATGCTGATGCTTCCTTGGGCCAGGGTGTTGCAATGTCGTCTGTTCTGATAAGACGGGAACTCTGACTGCCAATGAAATGACTGTCACCCAGCTTGTCACATCTGATGGACTCCATGCTGAGGTGAGTCCATGCAAATTTACAAGGTTCTGGACAGAGAGGCATGCCCCGGAGACCCTTCCTTCCTAGAGAGCATGTGGCATGGTCTCAGTTAGCAATTAGAAAGCCACCAACATAAGGTTCTTGCATAATCTCTTCACTACAAATAGGAAGATGATGGATGTAAGGTCACGACCTTTATTTTTTATCTTTTAATACTAATCATGAACAAAATTTAGAAGCTAGAAAACAGCGACCCATAACCTTCCAGAATAAACCAACCCCAATTCTCCATCTCTGCTTTCAGTCCCTCTCCTGTGCATTTGGCTCAGTTGTAAGCTCCCAGAACGAGTGATTTTGTAACCTGATGCATTTTATACAAAACTCTGCAGGCCCAGGGTCAGCAGCAAGTAGCCCATGGGCTGCACCCACCTTCGTGAAGAGTTTTGTTGCCCCCAGAGACACCCTTCCTGTTGCACATGGTCCATCATTTCAGACTTGAAAAGCCACCGATTGTGTGGCCTATACTGAAATATTTGCAAGGAAAACTTTGTCTACTCCTGTTCCAGAAGATTCCATGCTGTGGCTTAACTTGCCTAACTATAAATGCTACTGGCTGCAGAATACCCCACTGAGGTTTATGAAATCAACAGTGTTCAGATAAATCGCTAACCCCACCAGGACCACCTTCACGCTTGAAGCTGGGTCTGTGGGTGGGATTATGTCCTGGGGATGGATCCCCAGTAAAGACATAATGGGGCAGCACGTTTCTGACTCCTGGTGAACATCACTGTGCCGCTTTTCCCGCAGGTCAGCGGCGTTGGATATAATGGTAAAGGGACAGTGTGTCTTTTGCCAGCAAAGGAGGTTGTTAAGGAGTTTGCCAACGTCTCAGTGGGAAAATTAGTGGAGGTGAGTGTCAAGCACTATGGTGGAAATCATGTTTAAAAGTTGCTGATGGGGAGGCTCCTGACAAGAGAAGGGCCAGCTGTGTCAAATGGTTCTTGCTGACAACTGGGCCACGCCTCAGGGGTCAGGTGGTCCTGGTGGCCTGGATGAAGGTGGTGACTCAGGAGGTAAGAGGTGGTGCCTTGTGCTCCCCCTGCTGCTGGAAGTCACTCCGTGTCGGGGCGTGAGTGTGCAACCAGTGCTTTGGACACGCATGATACTGCTATGTACATCCTATCCTCACGGGAAACGTGCCCTCTATGAATATGAGGTCACCGCCTCCCCCTGCAAGGGCACCCACTCTGCTAGGCTCCCTCCCACCCTGATGGTGCCACTTAATTCCACAGTAACCCTGGTGGCCAGCCCTGTCAGCTCAGTCATGCAGATTAGGAGAGGTAACATGAGTGCCCAGGATCACCGGCCATGAGGAAGGAAGCTGGGAGCTTCCCCCTGCCTCCCAATTTGTGTGCATGTCTGTTTCTATCTTTATTTTTGATCAAAAAGTATCATTTACCATAGAATTCACCCTTTCAAGTGTACATTTCAGTTGGTCTAGATTCACACAGTCACACAGCCATCACCACTGTTTAATCCCCATCACCCCCAACAGAAACACAAACCCCTTGGGGGGTCACTCAAGTCACCCTACACTCAGCCACCAGTTATCCTCTACCTGCTTCCCACCGTCATCTTACAGCACTGTTGGAACAACCAGCACCTGCAGAGTCAATAAATGTGTCCAGGGTTTATTATGAAGAGGGGGTTTGTCTTAAAGAGTGAATCTTGTCCCGACTGGCCCCCTAGCTCCAGTCTCTGAAGCCCGGGGTCCCTGGGGTGGGGGCTGAGGGGGGACAGCCCCTTGTATTAACTGGACACCTGGAATTTCCCCATTTCAGGCAGGCTGTGTTGCCAATAACGCTATCATCAAGAAAAACTCGGTGATAGGGCAGCCCACAGAAGGGGCGCTGATGGCCCTGGCTATGAAGGTGAGTGCCTGCGTCCAGGGAGCGGGGGAATTTGACTCCCATCTAAGTGACAGAGGGATGGGGAAGCTTTGTAATCCTGAATGATCCCAGACACCCCCCACCCCTGGGGCCATCTGCTGATTGGTAGGGAAGAGATGTGGTTTTGAAAGTTCTGCAGGTATCTGACCCCTTTCTGGCCATTCTCTAAGAAGCCTCATGGCGCAGACCCCAAGGGAGAGTTGGGAAGACAGAAGAACAAGCCTCACCTCTGCACCCCAACACAGTTCCTGCTGTCCTTCACCACAACCCCACAGGAGGGTTCCCTTTTAATACACTAGTCGATTCTGGGAGCATGTGCTAGCACTTCTAAGCATCCCCTCCTGCCCCCTGAGATTGGGGGTTGTGTGGCAGAGCAATGGGTGTGTATGCTGCACAGAAGAGGGCCCATAAGGTTGTCCCCATCTAGCGGAAGCCCCACGCTGGGTGCTCCACTTGGGAACCCCCAGCTCCTGTCATTCCATCCTGCCCAGCTCCCTCTACTGCCTCCAGGGCTAGGTCCCTCCCGTCTGTTCTTCCTTCACAGCTGTCTCGGACAAGTTCACGTCTGTTTCCACTTCTGCTCACCTTTGGCTTCACTCATCACTGTCCTGTGTCCATCTGTCCCTCCCTCCCCTGGCAGGGAACCCAGGCCCCTCCTCTCTGCCTGGGCCTGGGTGAAGTTCCAGACCAGTGGTGGGTGAGCCATGAGTGGCCAGAAGGATGACCCTTTTATTCAACTCCTGTAAGCAGCTGCCTTAAGACTGTTCCACATATTCTTTTCCTTTCACAGAAGAAAATACTGTCCAGGTTGTCGGTGACACAGAATTGAACACACTGCCCCTTTAAAACCAACCCACCGACCACTCCCATGCCCAGTGGGGAAGGGGAAGCTTACTGGCTTCTAGCAGGAGCAAAACCAAAACCCTGGTGTCTCAACCCACCCTGTACCCACCACTGCCTGTGCAGCCAAGAGCAGAGGTTCCAGAACCTCCTGTCCTCTGCAACTTATGAGTTTACTCTGGCAGGTGTTCACCGCAGCCTGGGAATTAGACACGGAACTGAGAGCTTTGTGTTTCTTCTCACTCATCCTCCTGTCTAGGGCGGGGACTTTGCACCTTTTGTCCATTATAAGACTCTGCTGTTAATTTCCTGGAGCAGCCGATCAAAAGTACCCGCAATGGGTAGTTAAAATAATAGGCACTTACTGAGTCTGGACGCCAGAAGTCGAAAAGGCCGGTGCAGGCGGGCTGGCTCCTCTCCAGCTTCTGTTGTCTGTCCTCCACCGTGTCCTTGGCTGGTGGCCTCATCGCTCTCCTCTCTGCTTCCTTTTCCTCTTCGTATTAGGGTCACCCTAATAACCTCATCTTGACTTGACTACATCCCAAAGACCCTGTTCGCAAATGAGATCGCCCTTGCAGGTATCATCCAGTTAGGGCTCAGCTCTCTTTTGTAGAGGTCGCAGCTCATCCTGTACATTCTCCTCCGGGGCCTAATAATCTCCTCAGATTTTAATACCTCAGCTACACTGAAAATACGTGTGGCTGCGTATCTATGCTCTGTACCTAAAAGGAGTCTTGCCCTCAAGAATGCACTTTCAATACCTGGGGCAATGAGATGCACAGGCTAGGACTGGTTTACAGTTGGGGAAACTGAGGCTCAGAGATACCAAGTAACTGGACTGGAAGCCATCAAAAAACAAACGAATGTCAGACCCCAGGAGTTCAGTTTTTTAGAAACTGCTATATCCTCACTGGGCATGTTCCACTTATGGGAAACTCGGGGAGGGGGGAGAGAAAGGGGTATTATGTTTATGCAACTGGGACAAGAAAAAGAGGGACCATTTTCCCAAGCTGAACATTTGGAAGCAAAGGTCCTTTCTCTCTGAGCTACAGGCCTGAGTTTCTTGTCTTCCGAGGATGGTTTGAAGAATGAATATCTTAAATGGACTGAGCTATACACAGACATTGGTTTGGGACAACTCACTGAAGCGCCCCATTTTATTATCCTAGATGGACATGAGTAATGTTAAAGATTCATACGTGAGAAAGAAAGAGATTCCCTTCAGTTCAGAGCAGAAGTGGATGGCGGTCAAATGCAGCCCCAAAGCTGAGGTGAGTTTGCTGTCCTGCCTCTTCCCACCCCACCCCCATCGCCAATAAAGCTGACTACAGATATCCAGGAGGAGAGTTTCAAGTCACCAGCTAGTTCCACGAAAATGCAGTTGATAGCAAGTAAGCACCTGATCTCTCTCGGGTCCTCTGCGGAGAATTCATCTGGAACAGCAGCTCTCAAAGGGAAAGCCCTGGACCCGCAGCATCAGTGTCACCTGGAATTGGTTACAAATACAGATTCTCAGACACCGCGGGTGGGAGCCAGACCCTATGTCTGCTGGGGATTCTGGTGCTCGGGATGAGACTCGCTGGCCCATAACATCATGACGTAGGAATTGCAGCTGGAGCCGCTGCACACTCCTGCTGCCCCCCCCTGGCTAACTTGGGGGTCCTTCCTTGGCATCTGTGTGCTGAGTTCCCTTGTGAGCTCATTTAACCAGCAGGATGGGGAAAAGCCCTTCATTACTGAGGGGGCCCAGGAGGCACATCCCTATGTCCACCACAAAATGTGTCAACAGTGAGCTCACCTGTCCCTCACTGCACACACACGCGTGGACACATCATGGTGGCCAGAGCAGCGGCGCCAAGCTAGCCAAGGCTGTCCCAGATAGGAGCTCAGCAGACTTCCCCCTTTTTAAAATTTTCTGCAGTTTTTCAAAAAAGTTTTGTTTTAACAGGGGATTTTACTGCCTTTCTAGCTTTTTCTCCTACCCTTTGCTTCAAGTCTCCCTCTCTCGAATCTATCACGTCAGGCCAGGCTGAGATTTCTCCTCTCATGCAGGCAGCTTGGCCAGCTCGTTCCAGCCCCTTGCTGTGAGAGGGTGCTTATAAGGAGCTGTGGATTTTTTAATGTTTTAATACCTTCAAATATTTCCTGCCTGGAGGTAATGGTAATATATACTGATGGGAGAAAAACTTTAGAAATGTGACTTAAAAATGGAAGCTTCTTATAATTCTGCCTCCTTCTCACCCTGCCCATCCCAGCCTGAGGTGGGGGCAGCTGGGGCCATGTTTGAGGTTACAAATGCTCAAACCCAACGCAGGGCAACACCTTCAAAGCCAGGTCACGCTTGTTTTGTATGTGTGTTAAGTGTGCTTGTAACTGGCTTTTTCCCCCTCTAAATACTGCCTTAGACATCCTCCCATGCTCCCCCGCTCCCCGTACCCGGGAGCCAGCAGGGGCTGTGCTGATGCAGGGGGTGCCGTTCCCCACTGACTCCACACTCTCCTGGCACCTGTTCCTTGGGGCTCCAGGCCTCTGGGAGACAGTGTAGTAAAAACACAGGGAGATGGTCAGCTGCGCACTTGGTGCTGGGGCAAGCAGAATAGCAGTTGTGCCCGCACACAGGAGACCGGAGTCTGACTGAAGTAGTCACTAGCTGCCAGTCATGCCCCTAAAGGCATAGCGCTGGCTGGGAGACAGGTCATTAACAAAATGCACAGCTGCCCTGATATTAACAAGGGGACCTGATGGGGAGCTGAGTAGTGGGGGGAGGTCACACACCAGCCTCATTCCCTTTATGGGCTGCTCCTCTATGACTTACCTGACTAGGAATGAAGACCGTTCCTGTGGGTAACCCTGACCCCAACATCGTTGTGCAGGTGAGTCTGCGCCGCCGAGAGCATCCAGTAACAACAGATTGTCTTCCTTTTTTCTATTCCAAGGAGCAGGAAGACATTTACTTCATGAAGGGGGCCTTTGAAGAAGTGATCTGTTACTGCACCACGTACAACAACGGGGGCATCCCCCTGCCTCTGACGCCCCAACAGAGGTCCTTCTGCCTGCAGGAGGAGAAGAGGATGGGGTCGCTGGGTCTGCGGGGTCAGTGCCTGTGTCCCCAGCCCCCAGCTTAAGTCTGCATGTGACAGCGAATCTAGCAGGCTCATGCTTACTTACCTAGTCAGTAAGGTGGCCGGCCAGCCAGAGTTCCAGCCCAGCCTCCACATGGTGCCACCAAGGCAGCTGTGGCTCACAGAGAAGGGGTAGCAGCCTCCCGCCTGCATTTGCTGACCACATGCAGTGTGGCGTGGGCAGCACCCATGTGTGTAGACACAACCCCGGAGTGAGGGTCTTCAAGAATCTGTGGACCACAGGGGCAAGGCAGGCAGGGGAGCCCCGAGGACTGCCCACTGAATGGCCTGTGCACTCTGAGCTGTGTTCTGACCGTGCAGGAAGGAGGCGCAGCTGGAGGCTCCGTGGCCACAGCCCCTTCCATGGTGACACAGTGAGGTCCGATCTCTCATCCCACCTCCCAGGCGCTCGTCCCTAGCAGCCAGGCCAGGCTTCTGGGCCACTGAAGCAGTCAAGGCCAAGACTAGCCACACAGCCCTCTCACCACTGTGCCTGTCACATGTTTTCTTAAACTTTGGTGGTGGCTGCAGGTGACAAAAGTGCAAACCAAGGACATATAGATCAATCGGGCCATGCTTGGGAGCGGGCGTCCAGGCCACCAGTAGACTACAGATTTTGGCAAGGCAGGCCACCCCTAGTGTTTCTCTCTACTTGGTGCACCCTCAACAGCTGCAGCCCACGAGCAGGGTTTCTAGTCCCTGCTCCCACACAGGCACTGGGCTTCCACACGGGGCTGGGGCTGATGGGCCTGCGGACCTCTCTCCTAGTGCTGGCCCTGGCTGCTGGGCCCGAGCTCGGGCAGCTGACCTTCCTGGGTCTCGTTGGAATCATCGATCCCCCACGGGCTGGTGTGAAGGAAGCCGTCCAGGTCCTCTCCGAGTCGGGCGTGTCGGTGAAAATGATAACGGGAGATGCTCTAGAGACAGCCTTGGCCATAGGTAATGGGGAAAGGGGTGGAAACCTGCCCATCCCTTTATGATGGCAATGCCTGCAGCGGGGCATTACCAGGGGCCATCCTGCAGCTTAGAAAAGAGGAAGAGATTCGCGGGCCAGATCTCTGCCTTTGGTGACATTTGTCTTTAAAGTATCAGCAGGTTCTCCAAGGGAAAGCAACCTCAGACCACTGAGAACCTACTGTCTGCCCAGGGACTAGTCCCCATCACCTCGCCTTGTCCTCAAAGCAACAGCTGTCTGGTTCCTGCCACCAGCTGTGTGGACTGGGCAGAGCATGGTCCATGCTGATCCTTGGTCCCTTGATGCACTGCTGCTATGAGGGTGGTCTGTCACCCCTTGGTCCTCCCCCCACAACCTCAAGGCAGCTGGGCACCAAGGAAAGAGAACAGACTCTAGTCTTAGGCAGAACCACATCAGGGTTGAGGTGGCCACTTGCAGCTCCATGACCCAGGGGCAGTCTCATCCTTCCAGTGGGGAGAGTATGGCCTTGGTCACAAGGCGATTCTGTGGGTGGGAATGAAATCAGGTAGCATAACAGGTCCTCAGTACAGGTATGCATCCTGGTTTTATATGAGCTCTCTGAGGCAGGGGTAGGTGTCAGGGTGCAGTGGGGGATGGGGGCCCCCATCTTGGGCCCAGAACAGGCATTCAGAGGGGTCCTCCTACCACAGGCAGGCACATTGGCCTGTGCAACAGGAAGCTGACAGCGCTGTCGGGGGATGAGGTGGAAAGCATGGACAAGGGCCAACTGGCCAAGCACATCACAGAGGTGGGTCCCCCCTCATCTTCCTCCTCCCAGGGCCAACAGATTGTAGGGGACAGGAAGGTGGGGCGTCCCAGGGCCAGGTGGAAGGACAGCCCAGCCCCTCATGCACTGACTGCTCTCGTGCCTCTGTGCTCAGGTGTCTGTCTTCTTCAGGACCAGCCCAAAGCACAAGCTCACCATCATAAAGGTAGGCCATGCGCCGTGTGTCCACCTAGGGGCCGTGCAGGGCCTGAGCTGGTGCAACCGCAGCCGTGGCTGCTCCTCCAGGCTGCTGTGCCAGGACTGCCTGTCCGGGCTTGGAGAGGGCAGGGCAGTCAGGGGTGGCAGGAAGCTCCCTTGGTGAAGGTTAACTGTGCCCACACCATGCTCCGTGGTGCACTAGGTGGCAGGGCTGCTGGCAAGCATCAGCTCTGCAGGGTGGACACATGCGCAACTAAAGCTGCCATACACACCAAAAGCAGAGCAAGAATAGGGGGTGCAGAGGGAAAACAGAGGCCAGCCTGTGCCAGCCTGTGCCAACCCTGGGCTTCCTGCTATCTGTACACAGGATAACAGGCTGGCGAGAGGAGCAAAGGAAGTCCCTGTGGGGCTCATGGCACACCACCAGGCACATAGCAGATGCCCAGCAAAGAGCTGCTGTGGTTTCCCCATTATGCAGCCCCAGGGAGGAACTCTCTGGAATGCAGGATCCTGGTCTCTCCATACATGCAGATGTTGAAAATGTGTTCTTTATCTTTACTCATGGTTGCTTTTTGTGTTATCTAGGGGCTTTTATTTAGGGGCTTTTTTTCATTCCACAGAGTAAACTTCTGTGCAGTTATTCTGCAAAGAAAATATTAACACTCGGGGGACCTTGTGGTTTCAGGGGACAAAATGCTGATTATCACTAATAATGGCAATGAGGCCTTTACCAGTTGCCCAACTCCATCTCCTCCAGAGTCCTGAGGGGCCGTCACCTCACTTTACACATGGAGAGGCCGAGGTTGAGGGCTACGGATGGGTCTTGCCCAGTCCCCACAGCCAGCACGGGCAGAGCTGGGTTTCACTGGGCCCACCAACGCTGGTGTCTCAGGGCACAGTCTGCCCTCTGCCCACAGTGTGAGAGGCACCCCTGAGGCAGGAAGGAGGATCTAGAAGGAAGGTCCTCCGACAGCAGCACTGCACTCACTTCCTCTTTCCATAGGCTTTGCAGGAGTCGGGGGCGATTGTGGCCATGACGGGGGATGGAGTGAACGACGCAGTTGCCCTCAAGTCAGCAGACATCGGGATCGCCATGGGGCAGATGGGCACCGACGTCAGCAAGGAGGCCGCCAACATGATCCTGGTGGATGACGACTTCTCAGCCATCATGTAAGTTCCTCTTTAGGTATTTTTTTTAGTGCAAGAACAACCAGGAGTAACCACCTTCCTGCTGGGTCAGCTGTTGTGGAGAAACAGGGGATCATGCTGAGAAAGGTTTCCAGGTGTTTCGTGACCCACGCATCCCATAAAGCAGGGTCATGGGGGCCAATTAACCCCCAGACAGCATGTGGGGGCCTGGGAGGGATAAGCATTGCAGAGCCCTCACCTGCAGCCTGAGGGGGCAGTTCAGGCGCTGACAGACAAGCCTGGGCCGCCTGTGAGGAAGGGCATCCTGGCCTTGCAAGCGTGGCTGCTAAAAATCACGTCATAAAAAGTTTCATGACACAGAAATGCTTCCTGTGAGATAGCCAGTTAAAGGTGAGTGTACTCAGCCTCAGAGGTCACCACTGGTGCCTGAGTGCTGGATGGGGCAGCCCATCTCACGCTGACGAGACTTCTAGATTCTGAGGTCACTGAAAGCTATGTGTTCCTCTTAAGCTGACCTCTCTAAATCTAATTCTCGAATTCATTCTAATTAACTTAGAATTTACTCAAGGGAATAGCAGTAAAGTGGGAGGGAAGAAATAGCAAAAACCTGACGAATGGCTTTAGAAAGGAATCTTTACAGATAAATAAGGCTTCCTCTGTTAAAAAAATAAAAGGTAGTTAATATATAGCTCTGTGGTTTTCATTCTTTTGCAAATGTAGTTTAAAAAAACTGGGGGATTTGGGCCTTCCCTGCTGGCACAGGCAGTTGAGCACTGCGCTGTGAAGCTATCCACAGTCTCTGCAGCGCTGGTTCGATCCCCGGCCGGCCGCTGCTCCCTTCAGCAGTGTATTTCATCAGTCTACCTGTTCTGTTCCCCGCTCTGGCTCTGGTGAATCCTCTCACCCTCCTGTGCATCTGCCCTGTACCCCGGTTCTTGTATAAATTAAAAAAAAAACTGGGGGATTAGACCGTTCCCTACTATATATTAGTGACATGAGATCAAATTCAAAGGACTTTTCCAGAGCACCTTCAGAGAGCGGTCAAGGTGTCTCCACCTCTGGATTCTGTCCCTTCTTACCCTGGCCCCAGAGCTGACCTTCCATCCTGTTGGGCTGGGGGTGACTCACCAAGAGCTTCAGACACTTCAGGGGCCCTGGCGAGGATGAGGCTCCCTAGAGTGACCCACAGTCTGTGCTTGTGTGCTCAGAGACTGTCCCCTGGTGGCTGCTGGCGTGTCCCTGACAGCTGTGGGGTGGGAAAGGGGTCCAAGCAGCATGTCACCTTTGGGTGATGGCTCTGGCCGAATCTCTCACTGGTGGGCCTCTTTGAGAATAAACATTTTTCTCCACTCCTACAGGAATGCGGTGGAGGAAGGCAAGGGGATTTTCCATAACATCAAAAACTTTGTCCGATTTCAGCTGAGCACGTAAGTAGAGGCCAGCACCCTGAATGCCATCGAGGGCTGCACCCACCAACTCTGTTGACAGCACCTTGTGTCCGACACATGTCCCGCAGGAGCATCTCTGCCCTGAGCCTTATCACACTGTCCACTGTGTGCAACCTGCCCAGTCCCCTCAACGCCATGCAGATCCTGTGGATCAACATCATCATGGATGGGCCGCCAGCACAGAGGTGAGGCTGGGAGACCTGCAGCAGAGCCAGTACCTGCTCCACTGACTGTGCCCCTACAGCGTGCAGGGTGCCAGGGCTACAAGGTGGGCAAGCACAGGCACTGGCACCAGAAGAAATGAGAAGGCAGGTGACACCTTCCTGCCCAGACTCTTGCATGGCTTGTTGCCATTCCCACTGTTCATTCGGGTCACTGCCTCTGAGAAGTCCACCCTGATTACTCTAACAGCCACCTCCTCACTCTTGGTCCCTTTATCATTGCTTATTTGATTAAACTCCATCTCCATGCTAAAATATCACCTTCGAGGAGGCAAGGAACTGGTGATGGTCCCAGTGGGCTCCTACAAGGGTGCTAGGCAAACTACTGGCTGAAAGAATAAGAAGGGAGCATAAGGCTAGCTGAATGAAAGAGAATCAGGCAGTGAGGCTGCGAGGCCCAGCAGTCACTTCACCATGTTGGAGCACACAGTGGGTGTTGTTCCACATGTGGCTGATTTTCACTAGTCATGGCCAGTGACAGTAGACAAGGGAATGAGGGCCCCACTTAGCCCCCCATGTGCATTGAAGGCTACCGCCTCATGCAGCCCCTGGCTGTACCTCAGTTGACCTGCACGGAGTGGGTGCTCACTGTCCTGCCCTCCTCTGTGCTTCCACATTAACTCCTGCTGTTTCCAAGGTTATCAAAGGCGGTGTCCCCTCAGACAACAGTGGGTTTGGGGGTGAACAGGGTTTGGATCCTGTTTTTCTCCACCAGCTGGGATGAACATTGCCCAACATGTGGGGTTCCCCATGGTGATGGAAACTGCCTGGGCATGAAGAGTGATGGGGGGTGGCTCCAGGACGACCAGGGGTGTCAACCTTGGGAGTGGTTTGCCCTCCTGTGTTCATGTCAAGGGTATGTGAAGGTGACATAAGAGGGTGGGGGAGATGTGCCCCTGCCCAAGGGGTCCAACAGTAGGGATCTTCCAGGAGGCACCAAGGGGCTGAGTAAGGGGTATCCCCATGAGCCAGGGACAACCTGTAGGCTGCTGGCCAACACCCCATCCTCATTGAGCCTTCCATGGTGACTTCAGTGGCCCTCTGCTCTAGGTTGTCCCCTCTATGCTTCTTTTTGAAATAACCCCTTTTGGTGGCTTATTTCAGCATCTCTCGTCTTGTTTTGAGCAGCCTGGGGGTGGAGCCAGTTGACAAAGACACACTGCGGCAGCCTCCTCGGAGCATCAAGGACACGATCCTCAGCAGAGCCCTGATCCTGCGCACCCTTTTGTCAGCTGCCATCATCATCAGTGGGACTCTCTTTATCTTCTGGAAAGAGGCGAGTTGTTCAGTCAGCTTCCTGGAAGACAGAAGGACAACTGAAGTCATTGGCTATTCAGTCAGTAGCACTGAGCGCCCTAGAGTGGCAGGTGCTGGAGTGGGGCTTGTGTGAAGCGCAGCAGGCCTGCCTCCTCTCAGATTGATGGGGGAGACAAGTAACACAAAGATCAAAGTTGGGCAGAGAAAAGTTCCAACTTTTTTCCCAAATGGGACCAGAGACTCCTACTTCTTCCTGCTCTCACTAGGAAACAATCTGAAATCTAAAAGAACTCCCATCTTCCCTCTAAGGGCTGTGTGCAGTTCCAGGGAGCCCCTGGTTCAGAAACAGCCAAGCCCCTGCTCTCCAGTATTTCTCGGGTGCCCCATGACCTGTGCAACCTCACCTGCCCAGGAAGGTGGTGAAGGACCCCAGCAGTTCAGCCATGTGCTCAGCCTGGTGTTAGGGGTAAACACAGACCAGGGAGCCTGAGAAATGCAGGTTCTTGGGCCCTGGCCTAGGAGCTCCTGTGTGAAGACCCCCAGGGTCTGCCGATAACCTGGGGTCCAGTGAGTATGCTCAGGCAGGAGACGTACTGGTGCTCCGCAGGCCAGAGAAAGGATTCATCACCTGCTCTCACCAAAGGAGGAAGCACTTCCTGAGAAGTGCCCAGAACCTTCTCACCTCTGTCAGGACAAGACCTCGGGTCCCCAGGGCCATGGCAGAGCCAGGTCAGGGTCTACAGCCTCATTCTCCATGGGGTCCACCTCCTCCTGCCTGCCTGTGCAAAGTGACATCTACTAGAGGCTCTGACTGTAGAAGTATACACTCCATCATTCTGGTGTCTTCTGCCAGGTCCCACCAAGAGGGTCAGAGACACCTGCTGGGCACCATGTGTGACTCCCACATGGGGGACTTGACCAAATCCTAGCAGTAACTTCTACCCCACTGTGGCCCAGCCAGGGGCCTGCTTAGCTGAGTCCTCTCCTCTCATGCATGGGGTTAAGGATGAGAAGAGCAGGGATCCCCTCAGTCTCTGCTCACCCTGTGCACTGCATTCCAGATCCCTGCAGACAAAGCAAGCACCCCTCGCACCACGACCATGACCTTCACCTGCTTCGTGCTCTTCGATCTCTTTAACGCCCTGACCTGCCGCTCCCAGGTGAGGCCCGTCACAACCCAGAGGCCCTGCGGTCGCTGCCCAGCCAGTCAGTGGTCCCTGGAAGCGTGTTTATCTGAGACCTGGGCTGGGTCCTGGCCAACACACCCTTCTCCTCCCGCAGACCAAGCTGATCATTGAGATCGGCTTTCTCAGGAATCGTATGTTCCTTTACTCTGTGCTGGGGTCGGTGCTGGGGCAGCTGGCCGTGATCTATATTCCGCTCCTACAGAAGGTCTTCCAGACGGAGAGCCTGGGTGCACTGGGTAAGTGAAGGGGGCACTAGGACCCTCTCCTGGAATGAGTCCTACATGAGGTCTTTCTGTCCTTGAAGGAGGGGATGTGATGGAGGAAGGGACACCTCGAAACAGGACAGGAGGCCCACAGCACACATGCAGGGACCAGGAGGCCCGGGGGCTACACCAGGAGTGGACGACCTGGGCCTGGCCATGACCTGCTGTGTGCGCCCAGCTGAGCAGCAAATTCATCCAAGGGTGGCAGGACTGGGACATTGCTTACCCGCGGACAGGGCTCCAGCCCTCCACAGTTCTTGCTGGAAGAAGCAATTCCATGAGCTGGGCTGTGTGCCCCCAGTTTTCATGCCCTAAGCAGGACCTCAGGGGTTCTGGTCCATCCCTATCCAGGCTCCTGCAGACCCACATTTGTTTTTGGAAAGCTGCCAAGTTGGCTAGGCTGTTTGCCTGATGCTGCATGACCATGAGCAGATGGGGAGTGGGGACAGAGAGTCAGCGAGGCAGTACCCCTCCAAAGCAGATCACATCCTTGAGGGTCTTGGAATGAGCAGTCAGGACTGAGGAGGTGGACACAGGCTCGCTGCAAACCTCTGGGCACATCTGAGCCAGTGAACTCTCTTCCTGTTATCAAAAATCAGCAACCATGTCCTGCGGTCACAGGGAGGAGATAGAAGCAAAAACAGTTCTTAAATGGTGTTTCCATCCCCTGGCAATTATATCAGCCGAGCAGATATAAGGTCTGGGCCACCCATGCTGTACATCTCACTTGTAAGATGCAGGGACAAAGAGGCCAGGGAGGGGAGCCAGGACACTAAGATGCAGCGGTGGCCATGGGCCGACTTCAGGAATTAATCCACTGGAGTGGAAGCCACAGTGACAGATGGGGCACCTGCCCCACCTCCAAGCTGCCTGGCTCTGAAGCGTTTTGGACATGAGGCTTGGGGAGGCACCCCCTCATCAGGGGATGGAAAGAGCAGGTGCTCAGCACCCCCATCCTGGCCTCCATGCCTCTTTCTAAGGACAAAAGAAACTCAAAGAATGCCACGGCCACTCTGCACTGCCACCCCCTTCTCTCTGACCTTTTCTCTTTCGCCTTTGACAGATTTGCTGCTGTTAACTGGATTGGCCTCATCTGTGTTTATTTTATCTGAGCTCCTCAAACTCTGTGAAAGATTCTGCTCCCGAGTCAGGAGCACCAAGAAGCACCAAGAAGGTGTATAGTGTAGCCAGACCTGGCTCAGAGCCGCCAATCTCTACTTTTATGTGACTGTGGTCCCTCCCCAGGGGGATGGGTTTCTGACACGGAAGCAGTGGGTCACTCACTGTGCTCTCCGTCTTGGGAAACCAGCAGGAAGCTCAGATGTGCTCTGTCCACTCCTCTCCGTGGGCTCTAGGCAGCAAAGGGCCTGTTCAGAAGCATCTCCTATTTATTAAATCACAGGTTTTTATTGTAACTATGTCTGACTGTGTTGTGCATTACTGGTCCCGCCACTCACAAAGAATGCAGGGGCTCCTGGGAAGGAGACTAGGCACCAGTTTGGGGTTTCTGCTCACTCTGCCTGGCGCCTCTCCTTCCCCCTATTTTCCTCCTCCATAAAACAGGGTCTTTGGTTACAAGCTATTCGAGGGGAGAGGCCTGACGATTATTTCGATGGATGGAGTTCACGTTTTTCCTCTAGGAGACTGGGTTGCCGGCCTACTGCCTGCATTCCAGCCCATGTATATGACCATGTTGTGAAATGTGCTCACACCCTGCACCGCCCAGAGGCCTCAGCTCTTGAGGGTGGACACTCAGATAGCCTTTCCCTCAGAGCCAGGAGCTAGGTTATCTCCCCACCGCTCCTGAGGGTTCTTAGAGCAGCCCTCTGGTTGGAGATGGTGGTCCAATCCCACCCTCCTGTCTGCTGTAAAACCCACCAAGCAGGACTGGAAGTGGAGTCCAACTGCCCAAGATGAGGCCACATCTATAAACCTGCCACCCCTGTTAGTAGCCCAGGCTTTCCTGTGAAACTGCACCAACAGGAGGGAGAGAGAGACTTGTTCTGAGGCATTGACTCACACCATAGTGGGGTCCAACATCTGGGGAGTCAGGAGACAGGTGACACAGTAGTTCAAGCTGGAGGTGGAATGCTTCCTTCTGGGGGAACACCACCTTTTCTCTTAAAGCCTCCAGTTGGACTTCCCTGGTGGCACAAGGGGTTAAGCACAGCACTGTGAAGCTGTCTGCAACCTCTGCAGCATGAGTTTGATTCCCAGCTGGCCAGGGAGCTACCTACATGGTGCAGCAGATCTCTCCTGTCTTGCCCACTGCTCCCCTCAGCACTGCATTTCAATAGATCTGCCTGTTCTGCTCCCTACTCTGTTTCTGGTGTATCCTCTCACTCCCTGCACCTCTGACCTGTACCCCAGTTCTTGTATGCATAAATGAATCTTTTAAAAGAAAAAAAAGCCTCCAGCTGATTAGGTAAAGATGACCTGTTTAACTCCATCTACTGATTTAAATGACATCTACTGATTTAGTGACATCTAAAAAAAAAAAAATCACAAAATCATCTAATCTGGGGTTTGACCAGACAACATGGTATCAGGGCCTAGCCACAGTGACCCTGAAAGTCACCACCACTGCCCAGGTTGGTGACACCTGGGCCAGCCCAGGGTGAGGAACGTCAGACTGGACCCCTGCGGTGTCCAGGGTTCTACTGAAAAAAAAAAAAAAAAACCACAGCCTGAGGGGAGGTCATGATGTGCCTCTGTCCCTAAGGCCCCCCACCCTGTGACACCAGCCTTCAATGAGAGATGCCTAGTGCCACACTTGCAAGATGACTCAGGAGTCTCAGCGGCTGGGAAAGGAAACTTTTGGGCCCAGGTGATATCCACCCACAGTTACCAACCTTTACCAACTGCTGAGAGGTGAAGCCCACATCGTGTCTCACAGTGCCTGCTCCTACTTCCCTCAGAGCACGGCACTTCCTGCCTTTCAGGGGCCTTCAGCAAAATGCATGCCTAGGAAATATGCTTCTCATTGCAGAATGATAAAAACAATCAGAATTGAGTGATACTTGTGATAACAACAAAAAAGTCCTCTTAATCCTTCCTTACACCATACAGAACAATCCGAAAAAATAGGGATAGGTAAAATTTTACTCAACAAGACAAAATGGAGAAGCTGGACTCTACTCAAGTGAGGATCCTCTTTGCACCACAGTTACAGTAGTCTTGAACCCCACATTAAGCAATGAGCTTGATTTACGTTTACAGAACACTGTACCCATCGACAGCAGAGGAACATTCACCAGAATTAAAATGATAAAGTGCATAAGTCAATGAAGTTGAAAACAGAAAGAGAATTCAGTCAAATCAAAAGTTAGTTCTTTGAAAAGAGAAATGAAATCATCAGTGTTACTAGGAGCTTATCATGGAAAGAGAGGGCATTATCTGTATCAGCGACAGGAGACAGGACATAAGAACCATGTGTTCTCAGCACATAACTTCCACATGTTACAGGAAATAAACCAAATTCCAAACCAAAACCACAGACCACTAAAACTCACTGAGGATGAAACAGATGGTCTGGATATAAGTAGGAAGGACAATGAAGTCATAGGTTTTAAAATCCAGAAGAGGGAATCTCCAAAGCCAGATGGTTTCTTCAATAAATTTACCTAAACATTTAAAGAAGTAACAATCTCTTCTAGAAAATGAGGAAGAAATACTTCAACTTATTCTGAGGCAAACCTTGCCTTGATGCCAAAACTATAGATCAACATCCTCATGAACAGACCCAAGGACACCCAAATAGTGGACGCAGTCATTATAAAGAAAGGGCACAAGACATCAGACCAAAAAAGGAAGGTGAGTTCAGTATTTTACCCTCAATGTTAACATGCCACATTAGTAATCTAGGAGAACCTCGCAGTCAGAGTAATTGGAGAAAAATATTTGATAAATTTCAAGTGGCATGTGAGGTGCCAGGAGGAGGGGGCGGGGGAAGGGGCTCAGCAAACTAGAACTAAAGGAAACTTCAACCTGATAAGAAACAACTACAAAAAACCCACAACGAATGTCAGACTTCATAATAAGAGGCTGAACGCTTTTCTCATCAGATTAGGAACAAAGCACAAATGTCCAGTGCTCTGTTCAATATGTTATGGGAATTCCCAGCAGAGCATCGGGGCATGAAAAGGCACTGGAAAAGAGTGAAAAGAAGATAAAACAGACCCTTTCTAGAAGTAATAAATGAGGCTAGTAAAGTCACAAGAAACATGATTAACATACAAAAATCAACTCTACATCTGAGCTTTAACAATGAGCAATCGCAAACAAATTAAAAATGTAATGCCACCCACAATAAAAAGAAATACTTAGGCGTATACAAAATGTGTCAGACCCGTGCGGTAAAGTGAGAAAATGCAAGAGGCCACTGAAGAAGGCCACCTGAATAAATGCAGAGACACGCTGTGCTGTGGGTGCGAGTCAATAAAAGGAATATTACTAGGAAATAAACTCATCCAAACGGACCCCTGCAGAGGCTGACACCCACCTAGACGGCTTTTATGCAGATGGAGAAAGTTAATCCTGGGTGAGGCCCTCCCCAGCAACCCAGGCGAAAATCACCGGGCAATTTCCATCGCAGCTTCGAAGGAAGGCCTTTCACTTTGCATTTCCTGGAACCTGGAAAAGGAAGAGATTCTAAGTTATTTTTTGTATGGCCAGAAGGTTAACGCATGACTTTGAATCCAATCATAACCAAACAACCCCCCGCCCCAGACACCTGCACAGCCTGCGGGGAGCAGCAGGCCCGGGTCGCGACGCTGCGGGAGGCAGGCCCACTGCTCTCTCGGCAGCCCCCAAACAAAAACATGCACCCCCTCATCCCACAGCTCGTCCTCCACGCCCTCACCCTACAGACGAAAGCCACTGCACGGCACTCGAGGCTCCACTGCACAACAGGCCTCCCCCGGCCGCCGCAGCAAGGCTTCCTCGGCGTGCGTGCGTGCGTGCGTGCGTGCGTGCGTGCGTGCGTGCTGCGCTGCGAGCGCCAGGCCCTACGCAGTGACGTCACGCGTACGCCTGCCCCTGGGGAAGGTAAGCAGCAGGATGCAGGGCAGGGGGAAGACTCACCTTTCCAATCATGAGCGTCCTTTTGCGTTCAGACCTTACTCACCGTGGACACACCAGGCCTTTTTTTAATGAAGAGAAGATGGTGGGAAATAAGTAACGGCCATGTTGGCCCCAGAGAGGCATTTCTCCACCTCTTCCTTCTGGCACTCCTGGGCCCTGGCGGTCTTCACTTGCAGGGGTACCGCGCAGCCCCGACAGCCCAAGTCCTTGTTCCCCCGTCACTGAAGGGCAAAACTTTCGTGTATTACAACTGGCACCTCAGGGTCTCAGCCCCACTACTGCCTGTTGCTCCTGTGACCTGCACCACAGAGGACACCCGAGACAGATGTGTACGTCCACAGCCACACTTTGTGGGGAGACCCAGCACCCTGGCCAAGAGAAGTCGCAGGGCCATCCTACACCCCTCCATCCTACACCCCTCAGGCTGTACGCTCAGGTTGCCAAATGCCTGGGCTGAGCACTCCAGGCCTTGTGGGCATGTGCTGGTCCCCATCTGTGACCCGATCTTGTTAGCACAGGGACATGGTAGGAATCAAGCAGGCAGGCAAAATCTGCCTCCGCCAGAGGCGATGATAAATGGCACAGACACCCACAGACCTGTGTGAGAGAGGTATTTAATGGTGCTTTTAGAAAAGAGCGTTCATAACACACTGAGGATTTGGAACCAAGTTCTTCGTATTCAGGGTCAGAATGCCTGAGGCTCCTGATATCCTGTAGCTGCCACATCAGTCAAGAAGAGCAGCTCTGAAACACTGGCTTTTCATGAGGAGCTCAGTCACAACTGAGGCTGTGTCTGGATGTTGGGCACCACGCTTGTCGGCGTGTATGCCCCATGCTTCTGAAGGCAGTTAGCAGCTGTGCAAGGAGGCAGGGCCGCCTGGCCCTGAAGCCCTGCCCACCTACCAACATCTTGGAGATGGCATTAGGAAGGGCAACCCTGAGGGAGTGGGGTGGTCAAGGCGCTCACCACTTGTTTATATGACAGGCTGCACAGGTCATATGTGCATCACACATATGTCTCACCGCTATCTCAGCAGAGCACTCAGTCTCAGGCTCCAACACACCCCACATTTTAATAAGTGTCAGAACCACAGTTTTGCGTCTCTGTGCGTCTCCTGGCTCTTCTGTCTGCTCCTGGCATAGACACATTTAAAAACAGTTGAGAAAGGCAGAGGCGGACCTCATCGCCACCACCCATAAAGGACCCAGGTCACAGGAAACGTGTCATCCCCAAAATCCTTGGCTATATTTCCCATCAATATATGGTCAGTGCTTTCTCAAAAACACAGAAATTCCATGCCATTGGAAGTAATCCCCCAAGTGTGTCGAGAGTCATGTATACATGACCAGCTCCTTCCGCCAGTGACATGGACTATCAAGGCCCACTTTTAACTGGAATGGCCTGAGAGAGGCCAAGTGCCCCTCACAGGTGAGAACTCCCATTCCCAGTAAGCACTGATTCTAGTAGAGATGGCAGAAGACTTCAATTTCATCGATATGAAATGAACTAAGAGTTAAGTTGCTAATTTGACACTTAGGATTTCTGGAAGATACATCCACCAATCAATCTCTGGCAGAAGGAATTTTACTCTGTGTTCCCACGGACATGCTCAGGACCAGCTGGGAGTGACCCGTGTGGCCCCAGGTTCAAGTTAAGCACACAAGGGATCAGGAGAGGCGCTGCAGCTGCACCCTGGGGTGCCCATTCTCCACTCCAGGAAAGATGCACTGGGGGCGCCTCCTCACTCAGCTGGGGCTTCCCGGAGCCCGTGGCTGTGGCGTGTCCGCCCACTGATTTCCAGCAGTGCCTGGGCCTCAGGGTCCGCATCCAGAATACTCTTTCCGGTCTTGGCCTTGGGAAGAAGAGAGGGTGGGCTGTTCAGCAACATGTGGGGGGAAGAATGCCTGTCTCCCTAACAGCCAAGAAAAGCAGAGATGTGCTGCTGGTGTTAAACTTACTGGAGTGGGTCACAGCAAACCCAGTGGGGACCTGCTTCCCTAAGTCCCCCCACTCTGGGATGCCAGCATTGGGTGAAGACAAAGGTGGTTGGGGAGGGCTCCATAGCAACTCTTCACACAAGCACGAACTAGAAGGAACCTAGGCCCCCTTACCTTACAGGTCAGGTGCCTGCTGCCCGGGGCAGTTCCTTCTACTTAGATCCCTGGGTCTCTGACAGGGTACCTGGCTCTGTGGTTTACCCACTGCCCCCCGCCACCCACCCAGCAAGTGACAGCCTCTGGAGACAGTGTGGAATGAACTGCTTCCAGGTGGAGGGGGAATGGGCTAAAGCCCATGGAGTGGGGAAACGCCCTGCACTCACCAGCTGGGACTCCTCAGTGTCACCGACGGCCCACACCTCCATCTTCTCAAACTGGAAGTCCTCCTTGGCCGACAGCTGTGGGCTGCTGTATGTGGTGCACATGGGCTTGGCCTTGCTGTGTCCTTTTCCAAAATCGACATCGATCCACAGCCCAAAATAGTTGTGCTGCCCACCCATGCCCTGCAGAGGGAGCCGAGTCAGCACACCCCAGCCCACACGGCACTCAGGAGACCCCAGGGCTCTGCTCTGCACTCAACCTGTGTGACTTCACCATCCCATTACGAGATACTGTAATAGAACAATCTGCAAGGTTTCTGGCTTGTCTCACAGGGCCACACTGGCTAGGAGCTCAAGGACAGCAGAAGACAAAAAGCATAACACCATCAGGGCCCAGAGACTCCAGCTTCTAACATCAGCAGGGAGGCCGACACAGACCTTGAGCTCAGGAAACCTACTGTGCCCAGGCCTGGGAGGGGGTGTGTGTGGGGGAATCCTCACCCAGACCCCAACCCAGTGCTCAGAGCCCCAGTCACCTACTCTGTGCTGTCACCTTGAAGGAAAGCAACAGGAAGCAGACCCGGGGCGACTCCAAGGTGTTCCCTCCGCCACGTCACCCCTGGCTCTAGGCCAACAGCCTACACAACAGATCTGCCTGGACCTCCCTGATCACATTCTCTGGGTGTCGCCTCCACCGTGCTCCAGTCAGGTCCCTGGCAAGCCCTGAAACTTGTCCTGAGCAAGAGCCCAGAGTAGGAAATTGCAGTGGGCGCTGAAAGCCACTCCCCGCCTCAGGCCACTTATGGCCACTACTGGAGACCTACTGGGCGCTGCTCCTGAGACTGAAGCCCTCACCCTGCTGCCACCAAGCCCCCATTCTGGGAGGGGCTGGGGGCAACCTGGGGAACTGCACAGAGAACCTGGGAAGGCCCAAAGGGCCTCTCCAACCCTGAGGTGACTGGCCTCAGTTCCACTCTGCCGGCTCAGGGCGGAATTTCTCAAAAGGAACCTTTTGTTAAGAAGCAAAGAAAAGCAATGGGCTGGGGTATGGGCAGGAGGCACATTTCTACCCGAACTCAGCATCTGAGTCCTCAGCCCTGTGCCCTTGCCCACCCGGCCCCACTGCCTGCCCTGGACTTTCAGCCTTTCTCTTCTTCAGCAGCTGGGTCACCAGGCTGGAGACAGCCTTGGGGCAGACAGGTCCAAGGTCGCTGGACAGGAGCCCCTCACCCTGTTCTGAATCATCTGTCAGCACACCCAGGTGCATGGCAGGCAGCAATGCCCAGGAGTGGGTCTAGCATGGCGGTATCTCCAGACATGAAGACCACAGACCAACCGCCTGGTAACCAGGAAGAGGGCTGCCGTCTGCCCATAACCCCCCAAAGGCACCCATCCTCCCATGAGAGCAGCTCAGTCCCCGCCCTGGCGACCACAGCCCTGAAACACGGGCAGAACAACCCGAGCACGGCATGCTGATGGGCCTGCATGCATGCAGCTGCCCCACTGCAGGGAGGGTGGGCCAGGACGACATCACCAGGGATACTTCCACCGGCCCCTCTCAATCCTTACCAGGCCATTTGGGATGGTCTGCTGCCCGTGATTCAGGTACATGAAGTGGTTATTGTAGCCTGTGTGGGTGAACACGGCCATCCGAGGCAAGATGGAGAACAGGAAGCATCTGTTATCCCCTGAAAGTGACCAGAGCACAAACAAGCCCATCACCCACCTGAGGGAAACAGAAGTCAAACCACCACTGTCTCAGGTGTGCCCTGAGCTCACCACAGGTGCCCAGTGGTGTCAGGCTGGTGGGCAGGCCTGCAGAGGACAGGCCTGACACTTCAGGAACCTGGGCCCCTGCTCATCTGGTCCTGGGGGAGCAGAGGTGAGATTCAGGCTGCCATTCACAGGCTGAGCACATGGAAGGCAGAGGGAGCAGTCCTCCTGCAACTCAGTAGAAAGGTGGGCGGGTGGTCCTCCGCAACTGACTTAGTGCAGGCACAGGCCGCTCAGGCAGCAGGAGGTGCTAGGGAGGGCTGTCCCAGGCTGAAAGGAGACACGGCTGCTGTAGGGCATGGTCCTTGGGGAGAGGGACAATGAAAGTGATGGTCTCATCGCACCACACTCACAGGGTTGTGCTGCTGGAAGGTGGCGCCAGCAGGGCTCAGGAAATGGCCAGGGTCCTGAGCCTCAGACCCCTGGGTGTAATTTATTGACTCATAGGTATATTTCCCTCACCATAGAGCAGTCAGCCCCAGGGAGGGATGGAGGACAGCCTAAGCCCTCCGGGAATTCCCAGCAGAGCTGGGGGCGAGGAGGAAGCCAGAGATGTATGTGGCCCAGAGGCTATCCCTTCATAGTGATAATGTGCAGGTCACAGCATGTCCAAAACAAGCCGTTCCAGCTACACAGGACCACCGCAGGGGCTCGGGGGAGGAGTGCTAGTCAGGGGGGAAGGACAGGCATGGGGAGCGGACCAGGAACATGAGTGTCGAGGGAAGACGTGAAGGGGCCATCAAGCCCCAGGTGGTCTGGGAGGACAGCTTGGGCCAGCGGGAGGGCCTGACCCTCGGGGTCCGATCCAGACAGATTCCTGGGGTGTCTGCACTGGGCAGTGGGGGCTGCTGGAGGCAGTGCCTCAGCCCCTCTAATGTGGGTAGGTCGCCTGGAGATGCAAAGGGCAGGACTGAGAGCTGCTCAGGCAAGGAAGGACCACGAGGATACAGGCGCAGGTCTGCATAACAGGGGGCCACACAGGAGGGACGGTGAGTGCTGGCGTGGGGGAAGAGGGGAGCAGGGCTGGAGTGGTGACCTGGGGCCCACAGAGGGCTTCCCTCCAGGCTAAAGACTTGGACTTAATTCCCTGGACTCAGCAGCCCAGAAGGTGGGGGGTGATTCTAGACACTATTACCTGCCTGATTCCCACCCTGCTGCCCCCCCCCCCCCGCCCCGGGCCTGTGGTTCCAGAGTATCACTTCGCTTTGCAATTCTAAGCTCGCCTTTTGACCGACATTTACAGGGTCCCACATGCTAAAGGAGTGGATATATCACAAAGTATGGGCCCCTCAGCTGTAAGGGACCCTCACTCTGGTCTCTTAGGGCCTGCTGTCAGTGGGGAAAGTCACATTCTTGGTTCAGGGGCAAGGACCCAAGGGGTCATTTTCACCTGCCCAGCAGCCAGGCCCACAGTGAGCGACCCTCATGTGAGGCTCCCTATCACGGTGCCTGAAAAGCTCAGGGCCAAGGTCATCAGCACCAGTCTCTAAGGTGCTTCCCAGCACAAGAGACACTTCACATCTCCCAGGGGAACTGCAGTCCCTGGCCCAGCCTGGCGCCCAGTCTGAGGCCGCTGCTCAGTCCAGAACCACTGGCAGAAACAGCAGCAGAAATGAAGCAGCTGTGACTTCACTTCCAGTCCTGCAGGTCAGAAATGGCTGTTTCCTTGAGGAAGGATCAGACTGGCCCCAACCTTGATCTGATCTGAGGCAAGTCTGCCCTCTGCTGGAATTCCACAGCACAGTTCAGAGCAGAGAGAACTCAGGCCTGAAATCTTGGTATCCCCAGTTTTCCACCATTCTATGGGAATATTTATTCTGCTTGTTAATAAACCATGAAGACCCTGCAGGTTCACCCTGAACAAAGTTAAAATTGAAGAAGGTTCCTTCCCACATCACTGTGACAGGGTAGGGGGTGCAGAGACAGCCCACAGTGACTGAGACAGACATCCAGAGAGATAAACTGTGAGCTGGACACTGGGCTGTGGTCTGGGGACTTGGATTTAAACAGAGTCCCATCACCCCCAGAACTGGTTAAAAGTGGCCCCAGCGCTGTGTCTGTACAAACCATGTGGCTAATGCTGAACCCCTGTTTTCCTTCTGGGGGTCTGGAATTTGGAGGGTGTGCCAGGCGGAAGGGCCTTAGGGACCAGCCCCCCCACAACCCTGGGAGCTGACTCTGCAGGGAGCATCTCTGCTAGACACACTCACTGGGGAGCTAATTAGTTATGAGTCGACTAGATGCAGAGCCCTCAGAATAACTGAAGTATAGGTGGTCTTAGGGACCCCTGACACCATGGGGAAGGATTGGTAGCAGCAACTGGATAAAAGATCTGAAACATTCTGAAACACTGAGAAAATCAAATCCCAAAAACAACAAGGTAGAGGAAGACAAGTCTTCATTTCATGCTTCCTTCCACCATCCCAAGCAAATGGCCACCCAGGCTCCAAGAGCTGACACCTCCCCAGTGCTGGTATACTGCCCCAGGACCCAGGTCCCTGACCAAAGATGCTCTGCCTAGCAGAGGGGCGACAGAGACCACTCCAAGGTAAGTGGCACCACAGGGAAGACATGGCCCTCAGGGGGTTGGGAAGGCTTCCTGGAGGAGGTGACCCTGACTACGTTCCCATAAGGAGCTGGTGGTACACACAGGTTGGAGAGGGAGGGAAGGCAGCATGTGCCAAGTCGCCACCTGCCCCAGAACCCACAGAAGAACAGGAAGACAGCCTCAAGAGGCGGATCAGGCACTCAGGTTTGCTGGGATATGACAAAGGGATGAGGGCAACTAGAAGGTGTCATGCATGCTAGAGTGAGACGGTGAGAAGAGGCTGAAGGGACAGGGCTGATGGTCACCAGTCTCTGTGCCAGAGGAGCAGGCAGCCTTTCTCCCCATCTCCTGAGTCTCAGAACCCGGGGTCCTCCATCCATGGACCCAGCCAGGGGTGGGGAGCATTAGCACATGAGAGAGAACAGGCCTGGATCTGGTCTCTCTTGGAGACGCAAGACAGAAGCCCCCACACCACAGCACATAGGGCCTCTGAGCACACAGACTGGGCGGCCGGCTGCACCCAGCGCCAGAAGCTCAGTGCCCAGGAGGGGAGTGCTTCTGGAACGTATCTCTAAACATGTTCATCAAAGTATTTTTCTTGGAGGAAGAGGAAGAATTTACTCAGAGCCCTTTTTCCTAGGACATTTAAAAGGTCAACCAAAGAGCTTCCAACTTTCAACAAAAGTCTTAAACCACAAAAAAAAGCAAAAGAGAAAGACAAAAACAGCAGAGGAGCTACCACCAGGGATCAGTCCCAAGAAAGGAAGATGTGTGAGGGAGACAATTGAGGTCCCAGGGTCCCTAACAAGGCATCAACCACCCAGCCTCTCCCATAGCCGGGACCTGGCTCCATTGGCCACGCCGAGCTGCTGTCTCCTCTCCGGAAATTCAGGGTGAGGATACCTGACGTGCTCAACTCACCCTGCTGGCAGGACCAAAAAAAAAAAAAATTCTTGAAGCATTGAATCACCACAAAGAGGGCAGTTTGACACCAAGAAGAGCCCCAGGAAGGGAAGATGCAAGCTACCCTTTCACTCAGGCCCTTCATCCTTGCCGAGGCTCCATGAAGCAGCCGTCTCACCACACCCCTCAAGAGCGCCGCTACCACCTCGGGTCCGGGGCCAGTCTTACCTTGAAATTGAGGCTTGACCTCCCAGGAGCAGGAGGCAAACCCACCAAACACATGGCCGTCATGATCCTCCAGGAGTGTCACGCAGGGCCCCTGATGCACGATGTGCCCAAGGAGCTGGGCGAAGCTGTGCCCATGGAGCTCGGATGCAAAGAGCAGACGCCAGCGGTGCCGCCGCTCCGCGGGCAGGTGGGAGTTGATGTACAGAAGCGATGGCACATCCAAGAGGCTCTCAAACTCCCTCCCTTGGGCCACCTGGCGCTCGGGGACCAGGGTGGCCAGGTTGAGGGACGAGGGCAGGAGGGAAAAGCCTCTACGAATGACCACGCTCAGGAAGGTGGCCACATGGGGGACCCTGAACACCCAGTCCTCGATCACAGCTTGGTCACAGTCACAGTCCTGCCACTGGGGCCCCGCAAGCTTCTTGCCACCTAGAGAGGGGGAAACAGCGCAGGTGAGGCAAGACCCACTGTCTGATCTGCACTGGCCACCGCGGGCGCCACACACAGCTTCTGAGCCTCGGCACAAGGCTTGTCTGAGCTGAGAGGGGCAGTGAGTACAAAACACTCACCCGATTTCAACAACCAGTGCAAAAAAAATGCAAACTTTCTCAAAGCTAAAATATTGACCACAAAGTGAATTTATATTTTGGACATATTCTTTTTTTTTTTTTAAGATTTATTTTATTTATACAAGAGCCAGGGTACAGGCCAGATGCACGGGAGGGTGAGAGGTTTCAGCAGAGACAGAGTGGGTAACAGAACAGGCAGACTGACGAAATACACTGCTGAGGAGAGCAGCGGGTGAGACAGGAGAGGTCTGCTCGCCATGTGGGTTGCTCCAAGGCCGGCGGGGATTGAACCGGCACTGTAGAGGCTGTGGATTGCTTCACAGCGCTGCGCTCAACCACCTGCGCCACCAGGGAGGCCCTATTTTGGACATATTCTCAAAATTAATTGAGTCCTCCCACTATTTGAATCCTGTCATTGGAATGTTTAGATTGCGTGTGTGGCGGGCAGTGCTCATACTTAATCTCTGGGGGACAAAGCACCCATGTCAACGCTCTTCTCTGTTCTCTCTGATCAGGCCCAGGGGACAACTATGCCCTCATCCCTGAGCCAGGTCCAAGGCCCCCTTTTCAAGACTTCCTTAGACCACTATCTCGTTGCAGGCTTCTGCGCCAACACAGCTACTTGGGGAGGCGGTAGAGGTTTGCTACTCTTCGTGCCAGTTGGGGCAGTAGCTGCCACTTACTGGGCACCCCTCTAGTCTATCTGGGAAGAACAGGCTTTACTAACCACAGGTCACACCTAATTGTTCTCAAACAACAGCCACAGTCCTCTTCCTACTAAGAGTTAAGGTGGCCTAGTTTGTGGTCAGGGGGCCTACCTCGTGGTCACCTACTGCATTGTGGTCAGGGGAGCCTGAGGCCTCCAACCCTGTCTCCAACTATGTCTCACCTACTAAGAGTGGAGGTGGCCTGGCGGTGAGGCTGCCGAATCAAATATACAAAACAGTGCATACTACGTAAATTTATAAAATGTAAAAAATAGATACACGCATTATTAAATGTTCTACTGTGTCATTCTTTCCAAATTCTACATACCTTACTTAAATGTTTTTTTTGAAATAACCTATTTTTAAACTACATTTAAAAATCCAGTGTTGTAATAAAGTTGTACCACTTTTACAAAACAAGTCTGTTTAACAAGAGATTCAACGGGAAGTACTTCTCACCCCCAAGTGAACTGACATGTATACCCATTTCTCACCCCCCAACATAACACACTCTCTTGCACACACGAGCGTTCTCCAGGACAGACCCCCAATCAGACCATGAAACACGCCTCAGTAAAGGCAAATGGAAATCATACAAACTATGTTCTTCATCCAGAATGGTATGAAATTACACATCAATAACAGAAGGCAATTTGGGAAAACTCACAAACATGCAGAAGTTAAACAACCCACTGCTTAGTCAGGTTTAGGGGGCATTTATGAGATTGAAAAGAGAGAGAGATGGCAAATCTACAACCTAAGTGTCCACCTTCAGAAACAAGATCAAACTAAACCTAAAAGAAGCAGAAGGAGGGAAATAAGACATGAGCCAAGAAAAATGAAAGAGACCAGACAAACAACAGAGAAAAATCCACAAAGTCAAAAGTTGGCTCTTTGAAGATATCAACAAAAAAATGATACACCTTAACCTAGGTTGGCCATGAAAAAAAAAAAGACCAAAACAAATGAAGTCAGGAATGAGCGTGGACCCATCACGGCTGGACTGGCAGAATCAGGATTACAAGGAAAAACCATGAACCACTGCCTGCCAACCCGCTAGCTCAGCCACAACAGGTTGAAGGCCTCAGGCCCCCCAACCACGATGCAGTAGGTGACCACGATGCAGGCCCCCTGACCACAAACTACGGTAGTTGAGACAGAAAGGCTCCGCCCACAACACGCAGGTCCACATCACTGGGCACTTGCCTTGAAGCTTCACCTCGGAGAGCAGCTGTGCGGCCAGCACCGGGATGCGGGAGTTGGCGTCTGGCATGTACCCCCCAGCCCAGCCTCTCAGCAACTTCCTGTAGTGCAGCACGTGCACTACAGAGCCGACCAGGTCCTCTGCAAACTGGAGACACAATTTCACCATTAGCAGCATTTCCACCGGGACCCAACACCTACCTCTGACCAACGTGGGGATGATCAACGTGGGGATGGGCATTTACTTCTTTAATGCCAACTGTGATGATGGGGCACAAGGTGGGAAAAGTCATTTGGGTCTGTACTTATTTTCCTAATGATGCCCTCGACTGCTCTGACCTCAACCAGTCAGCTATGCTGTCAAGGCGCTCCTCCCCGCCATGCCTCCACCGGCTGCTGACTCATCCTCAGTGCCCCATTTAGGGTTGCCCAGACTGCCTGGGATGGCTGGGAGGGGCCCATGGCCAAATACCTTCTGCACTTGTCCTGCTTTCACAGGATCTTCTGTGGCAGAAATCATCTTCAGGATCACCAGGCCCTTCTCCTCAGAGCTCCCTTTCAGCAGGTGGGACATCGACACTGTGAACTGCTCCTGGGAGATGCCGTCACTGGGCCTCTGCACCTTGCCCAACAGGTCAAGGGACTTCATACCATTATACAGCCTGGTGACCATCTCTGGGGGAAGGGCTTTCCCGACATGCCTCTGTTGGGGACAGAGAAAAGGCTGGATTTAAAGGTGGTAGAATCACAGGAAAGGAACTCATTAGGAGTCCATGGCTTCCACCAGCCTTAACCTTCCTACATCCCACAAGCCTCTCCCCCAGGGAACGACACACCACACAAGGACCACGACCTAACTGGTCCTGACTTTGCCACTCTCCCCGCCTGCCCTGCAAACTTCCCAGTCTCCTGAGGGGCCACGTCTTTCCCCGTCTGCTCTGCACTCTGCTCAGAACATCTCCTTCTATCTAGACTCCGACTGCTGCCAAGTGCATGTGCAAGTTTATTAACATCCAGAACAGAACAGAATGTCTGTAGATAGCTGATGGCGTATCTTCTCCAATCAGGGCCTTCTAGACATACCAGAGAACTTCCAATTCTTATCCTCCGAGTTCTTTGTGCTCAAAATACATTTTTAATTCATCTTGCTTTAAATCAAATCTAATTTTTAGTGTTGTGACAGTGACATTCTGTAAGCACAGTTCTCCTTTTAGAGAACTTGGTGCAGGGATTACAAATAAACAAGCAAGAGCAAGTAACAGACTACAACTTGTGTCTGGGATGGGGCTGAACCCCAGGTTCTCCTGCCCTAAGTCGCATGGAGGGGTCTGCACAGTGACAAGATCTGTGGCCTTGTCCTCATAAAGCAGTGTCCACCCTCACTGCTGTGAAGAGCATCCCCATTTCTAGGGTGTGCTCACTGGAAAAGCAACACTTCACCCCTCCCCAGAGGAAACTTGAGTTGCCAAGGCCCTCCCATCGACTTTCAGTCATATTTCTCTTGATCAACACAGTGGATGTTGTCACCCACTCTGAAGTCCAGCCTTCCATTGGCCTGTCTGGTCCTGTTGTTCCAGATTAGTGAGTTAGAAGACCAGGGGTCTGGTCTAATGGAAACACACAGATGCATACCTGCACACGTGCACCACAGCTGTGACTGTGATAACTTTCCTGGTGGTTTCTCATCTGTGAGGTGAGCTTGACCCACCTCCTTCTCACTCCCAGGAAGATGGGCTGATGTCTCTTTGCCAGTGTCCTGATTCAGTCTACTCACCCAAACAAGCAGTTAAAAGCCCCATAGAATGGGATAGGGTGACAGTCCTAACTCCTTGTCAGATGAGCCTTGAATGTGAAACCTCATTGTTTTGTTGGGAGCACCCTAAAATCTCTAGGACAGCAAATACATCCAAATCCTTTTAAACGCAAAGGTGCACTGGGGCCTGCAGTCGCTGGGCCCAGGAGCCTGGCTCAGGCAGCTGATCACAGTCTTGGGCTCGGAGGGTATGTGGGAGAGTAGTGATTCCAATGACAGGAAGCAGGGCAGACCCAGGTTCAGGCTGCAATAAGAATGGTCCCCAAGCATCTCCCTGCTAAGGCAGAGGGGGGCAGAGCCAATAACCGTGGACCCCCTACTGAAGCACTATGTACAATCTGCCCTTACTGGAAACAGACCATGTGGAGTCCACAAGAGGGTCTAAACAGGATAGCGAGGTGGCCGAGGGCCAGCGTGTGCAGACCCCTTCTGCAGGTGGAGGCTGCGCTGACCTTGAGGGCCTTCAGAGAGAAGGTTCGGAGCGGGGACCTGGGGCTGGCTTCCTCCGCCGAGAGCACATGGAACAATCTGTCGACCTCTGCCTGCTCCTCAGGGAGAAACTGGGAAGTGAATTTGTGCTGCAAGCCACTTCTGCTGTTCCCCATCTTCCCTCTGATCCAGGGGGGGGCCTATGCAGAAGGAAAAGATGCCACGTTAGAGAGAAAGTTCAAAGCATGGTTGTAGCCTGGAAAACAGATCTCAGATGGGCTGCAAGATGCAGTGGGAACACAAGAGTTAAGTCACAGGTTTCAGCATGGTGGGACCTTGACACACAGGGGGTGGGAGAACGGATACCGGGCCCCATGATCCCAAAGCATCATGAGCCACTGCCCACCACGGGTATGTTCTTTGACAATAGTCTCCGAGCTGAAGCAACTAAAAGGTACAAAAAAGTCAGTAGTTTCATCCAAAAAGTTGTCTAAATAAACAGGTGTGAAAAAAAAAAATCTGTAAAGCTGAACCAGTGCCTTGCAAACACCCGGCAAAGCCAGCCTGCCGTCCATCGAGTGTCTCCTCTGTCATACGGCTCTACTTCCCTACAAGCTTCTTGAACAAGCCACTCAGATTCGACTTACCCATCTCTAAATTGGGAGTCACCACAGATCTACCTCACAGTGCACCAGGACAGTTTAGTGAGTTAATCATCACTGGAGATGCTAGCAGAGAATGGCACCCAAAGCCAAGTGACCTTTGGTGACCTTTGTTCATAGTCACAGACCTCACTTCAGAAAGGAAGCAGGTACCCACAGACTGAGAGACTTGCAGGGAAGAGCACAGTAAGGGAAGATCTCCTACAAGGCGAGGCAGGTGCTATGCTCCTCAACCCATCCTCAGACCTGACCTGCACACTCGCAGCAGTGAGCCTACTGGAGAGACAAGCACAGTCTCCCCGTCTTTCACTGAGATAAGATTCACCTAAAATCAAGTCCATGGAGTTCACCATGTTCTCGTGAGGCCTATAGCTCATTCTCAGTGTTGTGCAGCCACCATCTCTATGCAGTTCTGGAATATTCCACTACCCCCATAAGAAACACCACACCCAACTCCTGAGGCCCTTGGGCATTTCATGGGGATGGGCTCCACATGCCTGGCTTCTCTCTCACAGAATGTTTCCAAGGTTCACCATGTGGTGGTATGTGGCTGCCCACCATTCCTTCTGTTGGCTGAACAATAGTCCAGTATGTGGAGGCACCCCCATGGTCTGCCTCCTTGTCTCTGGACGGGCTCGGGGTCTGTCACCCTCTGGGAACCATGAAAAGTGTTGCGGGCAGCTGCCAGGCACATGTCCTGGCTGGAGCCCCTGTTCTCAAAGGTGGAGGGCCTACACCATGGAGGAACTGCCAGATCACAGGATAATGCAGGATAATGCAGCATGTAACTTTAGAGGAATGGCCAAACGATCTTCCATTTCCCATTCAGCAGCAAAGTCTGGGCTTCTGATGTCTCCATATCCCCCACAACATGCCTGTTATTTTTCTGTCTTCTTTATCATCCCAGCGGGTCAGTGTCCACCCTGGACAGGGAGCCTCCAGCAGAGGTACCTGTGTGGGGCCACTGGCAAGGCACAAATGAGGGCTGATGCCACCCTGTCACTCCCAGGTTATGTGATTCCAGAAGCTTCCATTCATCGAGTTTCTCAACAGAGTAAGAGCCAAGAAGGGAACCCTCCCGCCCTGGGCTCAAAGCCCAGCCTGCATCAAGGCCCGGCTCCCTCATCTCTAAGGGAGTGGCACAGGGTGCCCTCTGGGGACTGGCTATCCTCTTTGTCCACTCTTCTGAGAGCTCCAAGAAACCATGGACATTTTGAGCTTGATTAGCCAATGCTGTTATCATTTTACTTTTTACTGCCCACTGATTCTGGAGGAGAGTAGGGAAGCACACAAAGAGAAACAAGAGAGAGCAGGCATCATTCATTCCAAAGCTAACTTAACACAGTCACACCCCTCATAGTAACACACAGCTGGACCAGGCTGGACCACACAGCCCAGGCATGTGGGCAGCTGTGGCTCCTCCGTGTGTGTAGTTACTCTCTAGGCACGTTGACATCCCCGAGAATGTATTTCTCAGAAGGTGTCTGGGCCCTGAAGTGAAGCATGAATGTGTAGTCTAACATGTGATGTGCCGGCCATGTGGCAAGCATCACTTACCATCCTCAGGCAGCACTCTGGAGCAACTACAGAAAACACATCGAGGGCCTCCCTGGTGGAGCAAGAGGTCTCAGCACTATGAAGCTATCACCAGCCACCGAAGCACAAGTTTGATCCTCAGCCAGGGAAGTGACCCACATGGTGCAGCAGACCTCTCCTGACTTACCTGCTGCTCCCCTCAGCAGTGCATTTCAGTCAATCCACCTGTTCTGCTCCCCACTCTGTCTCTGGTGAATTCTCTCACCCCCTGTACCTCTGGCCTACACCCCAGCTCTTGTATGCATAAATAAATCTTCACCAAAAAAAAAGGAAAGAAAGAAAACACATTGACGCCCACCAGGCAGGGACACGGGCTCATGAGGATAAGCCACAGCATGGAAATGTGGGCATCTCAATCAAAGTGTGGGGGTCAGGATGTCTTCTGTGATTTGGAGGAGGGGGCCAAGGAGGGAGACACTCTGGATGGGTACAATTTAGTGACTGGACATCATCATCATCTTTGTGAAAGATGCAGGAGAAGCAAGGAGGGGTGAAGCTGTAATTAGGAAGGACACAGTATGCCTAACACTGGTCAGGAAAGAGGGCTTGGGGTCCTCTGGGGAGCTTGCACCATGATCTTATCTTTGTGTATACAGTGTGGCCTTGATTTGCTTTGTTCCTTCATGGTGACCAGTGAGGCCATGATGGTGTCTGCATTCAAAGGACATCCTACAGTTACCCTGTGTGCCACCAAACACTGGCCAACACACCCAGTATTGGGGCTGCCTCCTCTCTGAAACATGCCACAGTCGCAGCTTTACCAGATCTCTGGTAAATCATACCAGCTTGAGCCAGAAGTAATTTCAGCTACATAACTGAAATTGAAGTTTTTTCTTAAAATCTCTGTGACTGTACCAAGTCACCAGAAAACACATTTTCTCCCTTGCCCCCACCCCTGCTGATATCCTGAAAGTGGTCAGTATATAAAAATTCACCTGAGTGAATTCTATTTCTATTCTATAGTCCATTCTATAGTCTATTCTGTTCTACAGTGTTCTACAGTGTTCTGTTCTATTCAATTCCATTCTCTATGCTATTCTATTTGTATACTTGTCTTCATACCAAAGACACTTGCACTTCTAGAAAACATCAAGGTGAAAGAGGCTGGTCAGGAATCGAACTTGTGCTGCAGTGGCTGTGGATAGCTTCATAGGTTGCGTTCTTAACCTTTGCGCCACCAGGGAGGCCCCTGCCAATATTATTTTCAATGACAAAAAGCTGAAGGCCTTTCCTTTAAGATCAGGAACAAGACAAGGATGTCCTCTCTCATCACTGCTCTTCAATATACTACTGGAGGTCGTAGCCAGGGCAATAAAAGAAAGACATACAAGGACTCCAAATAGGGAAAGAAGAAGTAAAACTATCACTATTTGCAGACAATATGATAATATAGTAGAGAACCCTAAAAACTCCACAGAAAAACTACTCAAAATAATCAGCCAGTTCAGTAAAGCAGCAGGATACAAAATCAACACACAAAAATCAGTAACCTTCCTATACACAATCAATCTGAAGAAGAAGAAATCAAGAAAACCATCCCTTTTATAATTGAAACAACAACAACAACAAAAAAAAAAAAACACTTGGGAATAAACCTAACAAAAGAGGTGAAAGACCTATACAAAGAAAATTACAAAACACTGTTAAAAAAATAGAAGACACAAAGAAATGGAAAGACATCCCCTACTCATGGATTAGAAGAATTAACACTATTAAAATGTACATCCTACCAAAAGCAATATACAGATTCAATGCTATTCCAATAAAAATCTTAATGATATTCTTCAAAGAAATAGAACAAATACTGATGAAATTATACGGAACCACAAAAAAAACACAAAGAGCCAAAGCCCTATTGATGAAAACAAAGGAGAAAGGAGGTATCACACTTTCAAACTTCAAGCTATACTACAAAGCCATAATAATTAAAAGTTTGGTATTGGAACAGAAACAGACACACAGACCAATGGAACCGAATAGAGAGTCCAAAAATAAAACCACACTTGTACGGACAACTGATCTTTGACAAAGGAGCAAAGAACATGCAATGGAACATGGACAGTTTGCTCAATAAATGGTGCTGGGAAAACTGGACCACCACATGTGAAAAAATGAAACTAGACCACTACCTCTCACCATGCACAAAAAATCAACTCACCATGCACAAAAAATCAACTCATAATGGATAAGAGAACTGGACACAAGACCTGAAACCATAAAATATATTGAAGAAAATATAGGTAAAACACTACATTGCAATAACATCTTTAAAGACTAATCGCCCAAAGCAAAGATAGTCAAGGAAAAGATAAACACCTGGGATTACATCAAACTGAAAGCTTCTGAACAGCAAAAGAGACATTAATGAAAATAGAGAGACACTCCACTGAGTGGGAAAAAATCTTTGCACTCCATTCAACGGATAAGGGACTGATCACAAAGATATACAAAGAACTCACACAACTCAACAAAAACAAAATAAATAATCCAGTCAAGAAATGGGCAGAAGAGGGGCCTCCCTGGTGGTGCAACGGGTTAAGCACCACACTATGAAGCAGTCCGCAGCACCAGTTCCATCCCCAGCCGGCCAGGAAGCAACCCACATGGCGCAGCAGACCTCTCCTGTCTCGCCCGCTGCTCCCTTCAGCAATGTATTTCAGTCAGTCTGCCTGTTCTGCTCCCCACTCTATCTCTAGTGGATCCTCTCGCCCTCCCCCATCCCTGACCTGTATCCCAGCTCTTGTATGCCTAAATAAATAAATCTTTAAAAATAAATAAAAATAAATAAAAAATAAATAAATCTTTAAAAAAAATGAACAATGATTTAAAAAAATTAATTAAAAAAAAATGACAATGCCAAGGCTTGTAATATGGGGGAGGGGGGAGGGGCGGGGAGGCAGGACTCACCTAAATGGCTGTGAGAGATGGCAGTCTTCCCGAAACCTGGGAGGGGAAGGTTTTTGAGAGGTTAGCACAGCATCACCCCCTGGGCCACCTGCACCCCCCAGGCCACCTGAGCACCAGGCCCCACAGGCAGGCATCCAAGGCCGGCCTTCCAGGTGCAGGGGTCCACTTGGACCTCAGACTCCAGTCCCTCTGGGCAGCTCCTTTCTGCACCTCTTCTGGCTCGGAAGCCTTTCCCACCTTGCACACCTCACCGCCCTGCTCAGACTCGAACTGCCCACTGCCCTAATGGCTCCAGAGCAGGCCCTCCTTGCTGGCTTTGCACGCACCCCTCCACACCCCCATCCATGCACCACTCAACCCCATCCACTGACCCAGCACCTGGGCCACTCTGGCACATGGACATTTGTGTTCAATGCATCACTCTCAGGTGAGCTGGTACATTCTCCCACCACCTGGGGCCTCCCAGGTGCAGATTTCAGGCCAGCCCGACCCAGGTCCTGAGAAAAACAGGCCCCTCTGTTTTTCTCCATTTTCTCTTGGATCTCCCACCCCAGGACCCGTCCCCTCAAGTATTTCCTTATCTCTGTTCCACAGCCCACGGTTGGGACAGGGCAGGGGATCAGAACTTTAAAGGCAGCAAGTGGCGGAGCACACCCCACCTTAGAAGAACAGAAGCCACCAGGGCGACTGACAGCAAGGACAGGACAGCAAGGATGGCAATGAGCTGATGCCACCTCTGGTCTCCTTTCATCAGAGGTCATTGAAATGCTGCACCCAGAAACCCCAACATTCCAAAAGCTTCTCCCTGACTCAAAACCTGGGGATACCAACCTCTGTAAGGGGGGATTTGGAGCTAAAAGGCCACCACCATTTAAATGTCACTCCTCAGAAGCATATGGATGTACTGTGGTGATGGAATCGGTGTGCCCAGGGTTGTCCCTAAGAGCCTACGGCTCCACCTCCTCAGGGACACTGGCCCCTGATACCAGTCTGTACCTCTTTTCCTTCTATCAGTGACTATGGGCATCTAGCCAGGACATCAAAGGATGGACAGAGATACTGCGGAGGTTAGTGGCCCACAGGGAAAGACACACGAGCTCTCTACAGAACTCCAGAAGACCTGGGGCAAAGTGGCCTGAAGGACATGTCCTGGATGGGTCTTCAGGTACCAACATGGTTCATCTGGGGAGTGGGGACAGAAGCCCAGAGACATGGGGGTAGAAATGAGGAACAGCGAGGTGAGTAAGGGAGGAGGGAGATTACATAAAGAGGGCTGAGGAATAAGAGGCACCCATGCAGTCAGTCACACCAGCCTCCTACACTGTTGTCTGCAAACAGAGCACAGGGAGGGCCAGACCTACCCAGGCCCTACAGGTTGTGAGAAAGCTGGGTGAGCCGCCAACAGGGAGGACAGAGGGCAGAAATGCACAGGAGAGGTGGCACCTAGGGTGGCACAGGGAAGCACCAGGAGCAGCCACCAGGAAAGGCTGGAAGCAGCTGGTGACACAGGGTTTTCAAGGAGGAGGAGATAGGTGTGCAGCAGCCTCAAGTCCCAGTGGTGGGAGGAAGGGCAGTTGCTAAGATCAGGCTCCTGCCCACCGTTCTTAACATCTGGGGGCCAGTGGGCAGGGGGCTTATTTCCAAAGAGCTCCATGGACCACTTGTCTCCTTTTATAGACTGCCCTGACAGGCAAGGCAAGAGGTACAAAGTATTCCCAGCTAATCCACCCTGCCCTCCATGCTTTAATCACACCAGAACTCTCTTTGATCAGCTTTGGGGAAGAAATGAAGGCCTTCAAGGCACACCAACTTCTCCCCAAATGCAGGCTCCTGAACTTTTCTCTGGCAACAGTTTCCTCACAGGCCTCCCTGGGCTCACACAGAACAGAGAACAGCCCTTTTTCTGGAAAGTCATGCTTGAGACAACCCCACGCTGGCCTGAGTCTTCTGGGGGTTTACACATATCAGGTTCGCTGAGTGTTGTTTAAAAATTGTTTACACCAGTGGATCTCAAGTGGGTGAGTGGGTGGAGAGTGATGATTTTTAGCTGCTGCACTGGGGTGCAGGTCCAACTAAATGTCCTAGGATGCACCAGGTAACCCCCACAACAAAGGGCTGTTTGGCCGCATATGTCAGGCGGGCTTAGACTGAGATACCCCTGCGTCCAAGGACAAGGCTGTCGGCAGAGTGTGGGCATCCTGAGCTGAGGTTCTGAAGTCTGAGGAGAGCAAAGACAGGATCTGAGTTCAGATTCTGCCTGTGGACTAGCTACTAAGCTTCCTTGAACCTTGGTGAAATTGGGGAGGCACTGCCAGGCCCACAGTGAGGTAGGAAGGATTAGATGAGGCGAGGAAGGACTCTGCTTTCTGGAAGCCAGAGACAGAAAGATGGTCCAAGACAACGGAGGCTTAGGAGAGGCTCTAGGGTGGAAGCCAGTCTTTAGAGACAGGACTGCACTACCTGCTGGCACCTGGCCTGCCAGTCTCTAACCCTCTGCCTCCAAGTGGCTGGCCTGGCCCTCAGCCCCCTCCCCTCTGGGGGAGACTCCAACAGCCTCATGTGGTCAGGACTCCAAAGCCCTGCATGGGGCACAGGAACTGCAGCCCTTCTGTAAAGAGCCAGGTTGGGCTGGGCCACCCTTGAGACAGCACAGAATCTCTGCTGGCCAGAAGGTGACCTGTCCAGGGCCTGTCCGAAGCCTGCTTGCCACCCCCCCCCCCCACCTCAGGCACCAATCTGCAGGGGTGTCAGCTGGGTGTGCTTTCTTTTCCTCTCCCTTGTCCTGAATTTGACTCAGGGCCTGGGAAAAGCTAGTGAGTTGAGGTCAGAATACAAGAAGGAAGCCCACACCCGCCCCACACTCCAGTCACCCCCAGCCTGCCGCTTCACACGGCTGCTCCCCTGTCTATCCCGCGTCTATACCAGCTCTGTTGCTCAGGTCCCTCCCGGGACCCTCTGATCTGACCAGGCCCCTCTGAAGGTGCAGGGGGAATCTGACCCGGCGACCACCCCAGCAGACCCTCTCTTCCCTCCCCCACCCAGACACCAGAGACAGGGCGGCAGCCGGAATGGGGCAGGGGCCGGGCCCCCTCAAGCTCCCTTCGCTCTAGCACCAGAGCCACGGCCCCCGAACCCTACCGGATTCGGGCTGCCACTGCCTAGGCCGCCGGGCCAGCGCCTCCCACTCAGCTCACCGAGGCCCAGACCCCCTTCCGGTCCAACTGCCCGAGGATTTTCCCTGGAGTGGCCCGGCCCCAAGGCCAGGCGAGGGCACTGACGGGCGGCCCTTTGTCCCAATCACAGAAACGGAAACTGAGGGGGCGGAGCCTTGTAAAGGAGTTGACCAATGACAACGCACCTCATGGAGCGTGCCAGCGTGGACTGGTGAGGGCGGAGACACAGGCGGGGCCGTGGGCGGGGCCGTGGGCGGGGCCAGAGGGCCTGTGCCGGCAGGAGCGCTGGGAGGCGTGGCCTTTCTGCAGGTGCAGCTGGGGCGGAGCTGGGAAAGGTGCAGGTGGAGAGGTATGGAGGCAGGTGGCGAAACAGTGGAGGCTGATTCAGTTGAGGAACCAGGGAAGAGCACCTGGAGAGAATGGGGGTGTCTGGGCTGAGGTAGAGAAGACTGGGTGGGTAGTAGGAGAAGCTGAGTGTGGCTGCAATGAGGGAGTAGCTGGGAGACAGGTGAAGGGGCCCAAGTGGACACAGTGAGAAAAGAGAGGCAGCTGATTGCTCCGTGGATTAAGATGGAGACACGGAGCCCCCCTGCCGGAGCCCCCTCTACTCTGCTCCCGGACCTCCTTCCATGGACTCAGTCCTCTTCCGGCATTCCCTCCTAATAGCAGTCCTTCCCACTAGCATCTAAACAGGCCTATACTCCCCTGACCTCCAGGCCTTTCTCCAGTTAGTATTCACTCCCCCATTCACTCCAAAATGTTTCAACATTTCTTCACTTCCCATTCATTCCCCAAACCACTGAGACCTGGCCCCAGGACCCTACAAAAAAGCCAACACCACTTGCCGCCTGACATGTACTGGTTCTCAGCTGGCACTGCCCATCCTCCACAGTTCTCCTTCCTGGCCTTCTGGGTCCAGCATTCCCAGCTTTCTCCCTCTCTCCCAGGAGTTCTTGCTCAGCCTTCACTGGCTTCTGCACCACCCAGCTCCTCATGCTGCCCTCTACAACCCCTCTTTTCACTCCACTTGTTGCCCTAGATAACGTGCTTCCTCATGACTTCAAGTCCTACCTGCCTGCTTCACTTGCCCCCAAACACATTCACCAGACATCTGCTTAAGACTGCACCTCTAACTCAGCTCAGCCAAGCCGAAATTCGGCCTCTTTCACCCAAAACCATTTACTTCCTTCCTCAGTGATGTCACCCACCTCCCATGGTCTGAGTTGGACACCTGGACTCCCTTGCTCCCATATGCCATGATTTATATCACCTGTTTTACTCCAAGGCATGACCTGGCCTCCCCTCTTCCATCCATTTCCCCAACAGCGAGGCCCCTCCACCCCACCCCGGTCCAGGCGAAACCAAAGTAATAACCTCTTTCTGGCTCCTTTGGCTCCTTCAGCCCTGCCCCAACCCCTGCAATGCCATTAGTGTTCCTAATACAGGGATCAAATCCCTGCCTTGCTCCTACACTGAGTCACTGGACCAGTCATCATAAAGTCCCTGCAAAGCTCACAAGGGACCATGTTTCACCAGGACACATAGCTGCCCCTGGAAAAGGAAGGACTATTTACCTCCTCACTGTGAACTTGTCTCTAAAATCACAGAGGAGCAGAAGCTTGGCCATTTGACTTTCTGTCAGTCAGAACGAAACTGGGAAGCAACCTGGCAGTCCACCCCAGGCCCAGAGCTGCAGAGAACAGCATGTCCTGAAACCAACATTGCAACTAGACACCTGGCAGCTGAGACCTTGGCAACCGAGATCCCCCTCTGCCCCTTCACAGGTAACCCTGCTGGGGACCTGACCTGAGTCATTTAGACACGCCCACTCCTCCACATAAACTGTGAGAACAATACCTGACGAGGTGGGCTGTCCGAGGCTTCCTGGTGTGATGGGCTAAAGGAGCTGAGGTGTCAGACCGTGGGTTTAGGCTAGTGGGGCCAGGACACTGGAAGTTCCAGAAGGGCGAGGGCAGCACTTACTTGTGCCTAGAGATGCCTACTGAGCCAGCGATTAGACAGCAGGTGAGACAGTCCCTGCTCTCAGCACAGCCTGCTTCCTCATCAATCCCCACTCCCCCAAGGGGGACCACTAGATGAAGGGGGGGTGGCTGGGAGGGATGGTGGGGAGTGAAAGATTGTTTCAGGTTTGCTACTTTAACTGTCTCACACAAATATATGGGTATTCACTTTCTCCCTTTCTTCAAAGAACACATTAATGAATAATAAAGTATTCATCTGTCATCTTTACCACTTTGGGGGCTGTAATATTTTAAATTTTTAAAAGGTTTCTACTGGGATGACAGATACAAAGTCAAAGGACATTCTTTACTCTCTTTATTTCCTCTTTGACCAGTATAATTATTCATTCCATTTCATGATTATCTCTGGAAGAAATTTTGTCAAATAGAGGAAGTGACATCACCCCGATGGCTGCAGATAACTTAGGTCCCCATGGGTGTAAATGGGCTGAGTGGCTACTCCTGAACTGCTGCCACACTGTTTAAGAAGTTCACAATCCCATCTGGTCACGGGCTAGGAAAGTCTTGACTTTTCTAAGTGGGAGAAATTAATATTACTTGAAACTTGACAAATGAAAATTTTGCCTTTGTTTTCTGTTTTCAGTATATCCTTCATGATTATACACCTCATCACCACTCCCTGGGACGTGGCTGCTGAGCTGCCCCCCAAGGCCAGCTCCTGTTTAGGGGCCTGTTTAGGGGCTGCTTCTGTTAGGGGGAAAGGATGTTCTGAGCTAATCCCATACAGGCTTTGTGGACCCCACCCCCACTCCAGACCAAAGTCATCAGGACATTGGGAAAGACAAATCCCGTCACCACCAAAGGGAAGGTGGCTGGGACCTGAGGGTGGAGTTAAGCAGCCAGGTTGGGTATAAAAACCAAACACGTGGGCCTTGGGGTCTCTCGCTCTGTCGCTCGCCTCCTGGCTTCACGGCTCCTGGCTGGCGGCCAGCTCTCAGAGTGCCATTTGGGATTCCTGATCAACGGATCGGGTAGGACGCATTTAAAACTTTGTCTCCCATTTTTCTCCCTGAGCTGTACATTTCCTCATTTGCCCTTCCCTTGTAAATAAACCTTTTATTAACCTTTCGTGTGTGCCTGCAGTAGAGTATTGATAAGTCCTTATAAGCGCGCGGGTGAGGACCCACAGTCAGGCACCCCATTTTGTATCAGGGCTGCCCTATAACACTTCCTCTTAGTGCCCAGGGTCCTGTCATGTGTGGTGGTATCTCTGCCAGTGCCACCCAGTTGGGTCTTCCACCTAATTCTCCCACCTCCACAGAAGAGCCAGGGCACCTGCCAATTTCCCTCTACAGCAGGGCACCCACCATTGCAGTCCTCAGGTGCCCACCTGAATGGTGCAGGGAACCCTGCGGTTTGAGCCACACAGATGGGACAGCTTCAGCCAGGTCCCTTCGGACTATTCTTATTAGCCACGCCTTTGTGCAGGCAGGCCCTTCCACGTGACCTGGAGCTCGCATCTCCATTCCTGTTAATCCCCCAGAGGCCCAGGAGACAGCACTGGGCGAGGTCAGGGCACAGACTTCTCATTAGGAACCAGAGTCCCAACTCCATCATCACTTAGAAACCTCGCAACCTTGGCCCAAGGACCCTGAATCTCAGAGTTTCCGTGTCCTTGTGGAAACCACATGATGATAGCACCCACAGAGTATGTGCATTACCCCAGAGAGGATCCTGAATTGGGCTTTGGAACAGAAACATCAAAATTTAGTAGACGCTGCCTCCCAAAGGCACAGCCACTGCCTCTGGAACTTTCTGCAACAATGCCAACATCTATATCCACAACACGTGATTGAGGAACCTCAAGCCACACACAGCTTGCAGGGCAGAACTGAGGTTTTGATTTTTGAATGTGCATCAATTTTGATTTATATTTAAAGAAGCATGGGTGGCAGGCAGTCACACTGCAGGGTGCATGCTGGGCCCCAGGCAGCATTTCAAAGTAGAAAACCAAAAGCAAAAGCACATCCCACCGGCCAGGATGGCTAATCTGAAAAAAGACAACAATCAAGCGCTCGGGAGGATGTGGGTCTGGATCACTCTGCCTTGCTGGTGGGGTCTGCAGGGTCCCAAGTGAAACAGAATCACCACGTGAGGCAACAAAGCACCCCCTTAAGTTCAAAGCCCCCCCCCCACAACTGAAAAGGCATTCAGACAAATACTTGCACATGTGAATAGCAGCGCTATTCAAACCTCCCAAAGGTGGATGCCGGCCAGACTCCATCAGGGGATGAATGATGAGCAGTGTGTGGTCCATCCACACCCTGGACTATTGCCCAGTAGAAAAGGCAGGAGTGCCAATGCCTCCAACGTGAGGGACTTGGCCACAAGATCCCAGAGAATGAAGCCAGATACAGGGGCCACATATTGTCATTCCATTCCTATGAGCTGTGCAGAAGGCGCACCTCTTTGGAAACCCTGTGGGGACGCAGGGTGGGGAGTGGCCTTGCTAAGGGTACAAGGTTTACTTTTGGGGTAAAGAAAATATCTTTTAGAGGCGACAGCTATACAGACTGTTAATATACTAAATGTCATGGATTTGACACTTTAAAGTCATTCGTTTTATGATATGTAAATTTCACCAAGACAAAAAACACAATCCTTTGAACCCCACACCCAGAAGAGTGTCAGGGGGGCTCCGGAGAGAGGTTTGTTGGAGGACTGCACCCATCTCCCCCATTTGACTGGGTAGGGGTGGGGGCCTTCCTGTGACATCTGGGCCAGTGGGGGGTTGGAATATAGTGGCTCTAGCCCCTGTCCATGTCACGTGGCAGCAGCCAAGGGGATGGCAGAAAGGGGTAGGTACCAGGCAGTGACATCCCCTGCCCCCACCCCGCCACTCAGGAGCCAGTCAGAGTTTCAGGGTCTGGGACAGGATTAAGGTGCAGTAAATGTGGCCATCTGGAGTCAAGGTAAAGGGGATTCCTCAGGGCCCAGAAATGACAGGTAGCTGGGGTGACAGCCAGCTTGGGGCAAACTGGGAGCTGCCTAGCACAGGGGGGGCATTGCCCAGTCAGTGGAGCTGCAGCAGGCAAGGAGACACAAAAGTGGCCATGAGATCCAGGCCGGCCTCAGACATGGATGAGGCACCACCTG